AACTTATGAAAATGTCTTCTCATTAAATTAAAGATCATGTACTTTTTATCTACATCTCCATCTATTCACCTTAATTATAAATCTTCCAAGGGTTATCCCTGGTATGGTTTTGGAGGCCAGTTGATCTAATTGTTTTGGTTTTTCATTGTATAGAGTGTATTTGATTCAAATCTATAATCACTTTTGGTCAATCTTAGAGGAGAGATATAAAGTTTGTTTCAACAAGAAGCTAGAAAACAATGTAACTTTACACACAAAATCATTGACATGGTATATTCTTTGGGTTTCTTCTTCTCGTTGTAGTAATGCTGCTAATCAAAGGGGTTATCATGGATCTTTATATTCTAGATGACCCAGTTGAGCTGTATATTCATGAAGTATAGTCTTGTATTGTTTTCTGTGTGACTTTTTTTTCTTGCACTTTGACTGCTTTTGTATTTCTAGTTTGTTTCATTTGGGGCTTAGCATTCAGATTCTGAAAAAAAAAAACCATGCTAATTTTTATTTTTGCTATTACCCTACCGTGCTAACTCTATGAAATAGTCTACCAACAGAGAGACTTTTTGAGGCTTATCTATTAAATGGTTTCAATAAGTTATTCAGTTCTATCTCCTGCTAGAGCAACCTTGACACATGCTTCACTTGGTAATATAAGCTGCACAAGTTCTATTGTCCTTTGTCTTTTTCTTGACCGCCCTTCTTCAATTCTTTTTTTTCTTGTAATTCTTGCATAAAAATATGAAAATTGCAAGTTTTGAATGTTTAATTCTTCTATCCATTGGTATGAGTTTGTCTGCTAATAATTCATAAATGCTCCAAATTAAGTAGACCGTTTTGTTTGATTTATGATTGTTATTAACAATGTATGCATGATACTACCCAATCGATAGGCGTCATGCATGTAATGTATCATGTATAAGAACATCAACTAAAGCATAAAGGGATAAATTGCATTCAGCTTAATTTTTACCTATGAATGAAACAGTGCTACACATAATTAATCGCGGGCTGATGTTCATATTAAGGCCACTATGGGGGTTGAGTGATAATTTCAAAATCATAGTGAAATCTAGTCATCAATTGAATTAACTTTTATAAAATTCTATGTTCATCTGCTTTTATTATTTTTAATATTTTTATTTTTTGTGTTTGAATTAAGTTTTGCCTATTCTCCAACACATGCAGATCGCTCACACATACAACAATAATGATGGCTTTCATGTAAAAAAAAAAAAAAAAGGATTGATGGTGTAAAGGTAGTAAATTCATTTCATCTAAGTTGTCTACTACAAAAACTGGTCCTCCTCTATCCTTGTTAGTGTCCATGTAATCTTATACATTTACATTTTAGAGTTGGCCCTTCATAGGATGAAGTCTTCATAGATTAGCAGAGAGAAAAACTAAAGCCTTGCGCCTTAAAACTTCTTTAGAAAGAGAGAAAAAAATATGGTGAAATACCAACTATTTATAGCACACAATTGACCATTGAAACTTTTGAAATTTTCTTCTCATTGAATTAAAGGTCATAATATTGTTATTTATCTACATTTTTTTAATCATTTTACATTAAATCTATCCATTCACCTTAATTGTACATCTTCCAATCGTTATACTTGATATGTTTTTAAAGGTCGGTTGATTTACACTTTTACTTTCACATTGTATAAAGACATCCGTGTGATTCAAATCTACATTCTCTTTCATTCCATCTAATAATCAGTTTTGTGAAATTAGGTAAAAATTTTTGGCGACTTAAAATGTGTCCCAATTTTTGCATACCCCATATTTCAACTGAAACAATTTATAAAATTTTATGCATTAAAGCGATCAATTAGATATATCATCTATATATAAATTATGAATAGATTGAAAGATATAAAATCAGAAGTTATAAATTTAATTACCTTAATTAAACCTAACTTTATTCTAATCCTTCACTAATTACACATATGCACTGAAGCCACCGTCTTACTCACGTGATTTTTAGCTCTTTAGATGCGTTGAATGGTTGGGATCCTTTAAAGAGCTTTCATGTGTCTTCCTTCCCCTCTCCACTATTTTCGGTTACCCCCAGAAGAAGGATTTTGCAAGCTCCAGCATCTGTAGCAGGCGCGAACTGTGCGATCGTAGGGGAGCCACAACTTGCGGAAGAGACTTCCGGGGAGATTTCTGTAAGTGTGAAACTCAGTTTAGTGATATTCTAGACATTCCTTTCTTACACTTCCATTTTGAGAAATTTCAAGAATTGTACATCTTTTTCATTTCCAGCCGTCATAGTGGAGACGAGGTCATGTTGGAAGCGAAAAAGTTGGTTTGTGATTTTATGTAAGGAATTCTAGCACGATATCAACAAGATTAAGGGAAGAGTAAGTAAAGATTAGAATAAGATGTAAAAAATTTGACAAGATTAAAGAAGATTGGTTATGCCAAGAATCCCATTTCAGTTAAAAAAATTACTCTATGAGCCAAGATATTATGAAATCCTAAGATATTTACAAATTTCATGTTGACCTGAGACGACGAACTTGAGACGAGCATGTGGAAACTAGTTATAGAATGACTCCGTAAATTCAGTTTAATTAATTCTATTTTAAGAAGAATAATTTAATTAATGGAAATTGCTTTAATTTTAAAGTTTGATTTTGTTCTATAAGTTATTAATATCCATATAAATGTTCTCGCAACGTCCAGTTAGTTACCGAAAATTAAGAATCTAGCATGACAACTGATGTGAGCAATTATATTTCTATGTTTTGGTAATTTTTTTTATTTCAAAATATAGGTTTGACTTCATGTATTATACTCAAGTTTAGTTAAATCATTCATATTGTTAGACATGATGGATATGCATGATAAGACAAAAGAAAATGATATGCATGATATGAAATATATGTATGAGATAAGAGATATGAATGATATAAGAAATATACATGATTTGAGAAATATGTATGATGAATAGTTGCGCATCAGAGTAAATATGCATATTAATAGATGCATGAAAATATCTTAGAATAATGTATATTATGAAAAATGAAATAGTTTATATCTGAATGCTTGTATGTGTATGTTCAGAAGAGGAGTTCAACCCTAAATGGTACAAGCAGGGGACTGGCGCATGCGTAGAGTTTTTTCTACCACCTCAGACAATTGTGATGGTTAGATCACTAACTGTTGTGCCGATAGAATAATATCGATTAGGGATAAGTAGACAGAGCTTACCATTATAGACAATTGTGATGTTTACATTGCTAATCGTTGCGTCGATGAGACAATATCAGCCAGGGATAGGTAGGGGCCTTTTCACCCAAAAAATTGTAATGTTTAGATCGTTAATCGCTGTGCCGACTTGGATAATATATATCAGAGGTGTGTTAGGTTTTGTTGAATATGATCCCTAAAGAGACAAATGCGTATGTAAAGAGTATAAAGTAAAAGTAAAGCTAAAATAATTCATGTAAAAGATTTGAGTATTTTCTGTAAGGTCATTGAATAATACATTAGCATATTTAAAATTTTTTTATCGAAATATGAAAGACCAACATATTATTAGATTTATTATGGAGATATGAAAGAACAACATGCATATTGAATTCTTTTCATTGGATTACTGTAGTTTAAAAGTGCGATTACTCCTGAATTATTTTTAGATAGCTTATTATGTTGCTTTAAATAATTTTTTTAGGTTTAAGATTTTGAACAAGATGAATAAAAAAGATGATGAGCAAATATATATAAGAGGCATGAACAACAACAAAAATGTATAATTTCTACTTGTTAATGAAAATGGTTTTTGAAGTGGCTCTTTCATAAATTTTGGAATATTAAATTGTTAGTAATAGAAATAAAATAACAGATAATTGATTTCCATCGTCAGGCCATCCGAACGCCCGTTCCTGCCTTGATTAATTCCAAGTCCTGGGTCGGATCAAGATAGTCTATCTCAGGGGAGAAATAAAATTTTTTTCAACAAGATGCTAGAAGTGAATGTACTTTTATACATGATCATTGGTTTGGTATATCTTTGGGTTTCTTGTCGTTGCAATAATGTTGCTAATATCAAAAGGGTGATAACAGATATTTATATCCCGACAACCCAATCGAGTTTTGTATTCATACAATAAAGTCTTGTATTGTTTTCTGTTCGATTTTCTTTTTCATTTTTGATTTTCTCCTCTCTGAATGCTTTTGTATTTCTGGCTTGTTTCTTTTTGAGAAGGGCCTAGCACTCAACTTTTGAATAAAAATATAAAAAATACCTGTGCTAACTGTTTTCTGCTATCACCCCATTGTGCTAACTCTATGAAATAGTTCTATTAGTAGAAAGGCACTTGTCAGTGCTTATCTATTAAATGTTTTGAATTAGTTAGTCAATTTTGCCTCATGCTGGAGCAACTTTGACATATTCTTTACATAGATGGTAAAATAAACTGCACATGCCCTATTTTCTTTATTGCCTTTTTCTTCACGGCGCTGCTTCTATCCCATTTTGTGATCTTATAATTCTTACATATAAATCATGGTAATCACACGTTTTGGATGTTTAATTCTTTTATCCATTGGTATGAGTTTTTGTGCTACTTATTCATATATGCTCTAAATTTAGTAGGTCGTTTTGTTTGGTCTATGGTTGTTGTTGAGAGTGTATGCATGATATCATTCACTTGGTCGCCATCATACATCTAATGTATCACGTACAAGGACATCTGCTAAAGGATAAAGGTGTAAATTGCATGTTAGATTTTAAAGCTTATTTTCTGCCTTTGAAGGAAAAAAACTGCTACACATAATTAATCGCGGCCTGATGTTCATATTAAAGTCAATGTTGAGTTGTAATTATGCACAGTAAAAATCATAGTGAAATCTATGGTGACCGCAGGATGACCAAGTTATCAATCATATTGTATAAAATTTTATGTTTATATGTATCGATTCTTTTATATCTTCATTTATTTTTCATTCTGTGTTTGAAGTAACTTTTGTCAATTCCTCAACATTTGCAGATCACTCATGCTGCACCAATAATGACAGATTTCATGCAAAGAAAAAAAAGAAAGAAAGAAAAGGAATGATGGAGTAAAGGTTGGGTAAATTTAAACTGAGTTTTACTAAATTGCAACTAATTTATCTATTAAACAAAATAACAAATGATCCACCCTTCTCGTTAGTATGCATGCATTCTTACACATATTTACATTTTAGAGTTTGGGGCCTTAATAGGGAGAAGATTGCCTTAATAGGTAGAAGAATTTACAGATTGGCAGAGAGAATTTTTTTTTTTTGAAAGCTTGGCCCTAAAATTTCTTTAGAATGAGGGGGGGGAAAAATTTGGAAGTTCGAACTATTTATTGCACAAATTTGATCGTTGAAGCTTTTGAAACTGTCTTTTCATAAAATTAAATATCCTTATCGTATTTTTTTATCTGGGTTTTTTTAATCATTTTATATTAAATCCATATATTCACCTTAATTGTACATCTTCCAATGATTTTCCATGATTGGGTTCTGGAGATCAGTTGATTTACATTGTTTTGATTTTGCATTGTATAGAGTATTTGTGTGATTCAAATCTTAAATCTATTTGGAGGTTTACAAAGAATTTGAATAATGTACTTCTGATAGAACCGTATGCAGAAGTAGCTTATATACTCAGAATAACCTAACTCCATCCATCTCTTGACTTTTTCTTGCACGTGGAAAAACAAGTATAAATGCTATCATTGCAACGTATTATAGCTTGTAGCTCATAAAAATGAGAAAAGATGGGATTCTTCGAGTGCAGTAGTAGCTTTTTGAGCATTGTCATTTCACACTGATAAAGTTAATGCAAAGGGGAGTGGATATGTATAGCTTAATGTTCAGATTGAGGGACAGAATTTGTGACCTTGTATTTAACAAGTTTTTTTGTATGCCGTTCAAAATTAATTATTCTTCTTTTGAATTTTTTAATTGTTTAATTTTATTTTAATTCATCAATAGTAGGCAGAAAAATGGAATTCTTGAACTATTATATTTTCCATATTATTGATGGTGATATTATTCCATTAAACAGGCTAAACAATTATTAAATTCTTGTTCCATTTCTATACTTGCATGAGATGTTCTGCCAGTTATAGTGGAGTTGCATCCAATAAGATTTCTTTTAATTTGTACTTAGCTTGCAGTGACATTCATTTAAAATTTCCATGTACATGCCAATGATGTCGTTTGAAATTAAGCAGATGAAGGGAATCTTTCAATTAGTCTATGTTGCAGATTTCTTGAGTTTATGCTTGGTAATGCTTCTGCAACAGATGATTTTAGTCCATCCTGCGTGGGGAAGATAGTTATTGTAGCATTTTTTTTCATACTGTTTTTATGTTTGTAAAATTTTGTATGTAGAAAGGTTCATTGAAGGAAAATTAATGAAATGGTTTTAGTAACTAGCGTTCTTAGAAGGATTGGGAATCTTTTGATTTTTATATAACTATTCTTTTATATTTGTTTTCAGTTGCTGGCTTTGAATTTTTTGCTAGCTGCCCTTTGATATACAGGAAGGAGGATGCCTTCTTGATAGCAAAATTAACATTTCATGAACAAGCTGAGACCATATCAGATAATTATCCACTGTGCAGGACATGCCGTGCTCTTTTGCAACAATGTCAATGTTCATGTGATCGTAATGAAGTCCTGCTGCCACGTGCAAAGTTTGGCAATTTTTCTTCCTCCCTGGAACTGCTATTAGAATTATATATAACTTATTATTTCCTTTTGGGCTTGTTCTTTGTTGATAGTATTTTTTTCACTCAGTCATTGCTTTTCTTTCCTTTACTAGTTCATTTATTGCTTCTTGGTCATTTATTGCTGCTTGTTTATGCTTTCTTTTCTTTCCTTTACTCAGTTATTGCTGCTTGTGGATATCACCACCTCAACCGAGCTACAACCGGAGCCCGCCGCTAGGTACAAGCCTAGAAGGGAGAAAGAGGACATTGATTGTTGTCCTGACATAACACATACTTCAAAACCGACCTACAGCACGAAAACAACATATTTATATACTTATGGTAAATAGGAGTTGATCTCACTCCAAATAGGTGAGAAATTCACATGAAGGAAGTGTCGATTGGACCTCCTGGACCGGTCCAAGCCCCATTCGCATAATGCAGGGTATAAGACCACCTTAAATGGAGTAAGACATCTTATTCTCACTTTTCTGCACTTTTGTTACCTCTTGGGTTGGATGTGAGTCTCTGTGCTTTTGTTCCCAACGTAGCGCTCCTTTCCTTCGACTGGTCTTTTGAGTCCTTGTGCATTCCATCTCAATCCGATTCTGAAATTAAATTTTCACTAAATCAAAATCAAAATTAAAATTGAAATTAAAATTAAAATTAAAACATTGAAATTGAATCGAAACTTCGTCGCGACCATCGGTATCTTTGACGTTCGTCTCCGAAGATCCACCTTCAGATCCTCATCGGGAGTCCTTCTGATTCCCAGTGGGTTAGGTCAGTTGGGGACGATGACCCACAACCGTTGGATCGCATGTGTATCGAATGGAGGGCTAGGATCGCATCGGATGGGGGAATAAAACATAAAGCGTGAGTTAACGAGACACTAAGTCTGATAGCGGCGTCGAATGGAGTGCCACGCGGAGCTGCCTAGGATGACGCGATGCTGGCATGTTTAAGTAGGAAAATAAGTTTTTTATAATTTATTTAATTCAGATAACTTCAAAAATCTATATCTTTATGTAGAAAAATTATAAAAATAAAATAAAAATACATTATTGCTCAGTGAACAGATGAGAATAATGTGAAATAAAAATAAAAAAAATATTTGTTGTCTCTGATTTTTAATTAATTAAATATTCTCTTTAAATTTCTAATTTTAATTAGCTAAATAATAATCACCAAGACTTGAAATTTTAGGAGTTGATTCCTCATGTTAATAGGGATGTTCTCTGATTTTTCAAAGGTCAGAGAGCATCTCTATCTTTAACACCCTAATTTTCAAGCATAGTTGTCTATTTTGGCTTAAAATAGTTTTATAAACAAAAATATAAATCAGAAAATTATGGGATTAATTTTAGTAGGTCAGAGGATCATAGGAAAAATATAAAATGGATTTAAGTAATTGTGTATTTTTATAGTTAATTAAATGTATAAAAATTATAATAAATTAATTAAATAAAATATTATTTAATTTAACAAAATCAATTCCAAATTTTAAAGAATAATCATATTAACTCACTGTAAAAAATTGGAATCAATTTGGAGTATATTTATCATTAAAGTTGATTTTCTAAGTAAAATAACATTTTTTGTATTAAAATAATTATATTAAATTAAATATAATTAGGAAAATTATGAAAAGTAATTTCTGAGTTTCTAGTGATCAAGATTATTAAGGAAAATTAAAATTTATATTAAAGTAAATATGTTGTTTTTTAGCCTATTTTTCAATTAAAAATATTTAAAATTAATTAAAATTGCAAAAATACGAAAAAAGGTTTAAAGTGTTTTGCTTCATGATCACTTGAGACTCATTATAATATTTTTCCTAGTTTTTCTAGGTTAATTATAATTTTCTAAAGGCTAAAAATGTATTTTCTTTAATTTCCTATTAAAATAATTATAATAAAAAATTAAAAATTACAAAAATGAAAAGTTTGTTTCTTTGAGTTCTTTGGACTTAGGAAAATTTAATAAAAGTGTAAAAAATAATTTTTTAATTAAAACATATTTTTTATTTAATTAAATCACTAAAAATCAATAAATAATTATAATAATTAAAATATAATTTGAAAAATTATGAAATATTGTCCAAGTGGTCCTCTGACATAGGTGAAGCTTCAATAGTTTTCCCATGAACAAAAAATTTACTTTGATTAGTTAAATAAATTAATATTGAAAATCCTATTTTCTGAGTCAAAATAATTATATAAATTAAATAAAAATAGGAAAAATCACATTTTTTCCTCTGATATTTTAATTGACCCATGAGTGGGGTACCATAAAAATTTCATAGTCATTTGAGTTATATTTGATGAGCTATGAAGTGAAGAGCCCCGGGGCAAAATTGTAATTTTGGATTTTAATGTCTTAATTAAAATTTAGGATTAATCAAATGTTAAATGAGTAATTTTGATCGTAATGAGCTCTTTTAGATGTTTAATACATAATGGGTTAAAAGGTAGAAACCAATTTGCCAACTTTACAGTGTAATGGAAAAATTGTAATTTCATAAATCATCATGACTTGGAGTCAATCTAATTGGATGATACTAAAGTGATGGACTCAAGTTAGGAAGATAATAATTAACTTAGTTGAAGCCCCTAATTGGTGATTTGACGATAGCATGATCTTTTGATGAGAATATATTTCACTTAAATTAATATTTTGATAATTGCAAATTTACCCATGAAATTGTTAAGGACTTAATAGTGAGCTAGGCTTGATATTCAAGATTATTTAAATGAGGATTAGGAAAGAAAACATAATTAATTATAAACATTTTGAAAACACTACGGGCCCAACTTTATTTGTGGGCATGAGATCTTTAATAACTTAAGCTTATTCTAAAGGCACTTATTCACATAACTCTTAAATGAAACATTAACTGATTAATTGAGTGTCATTCTCATGAAATAATTAAAATATCAGGAATCACTGAGCATAGGGTGTGTTAATTCATTGGAAACTAAATTTAAAATTTTGGATGAGTAATTGAACAATATAATAGGTTCAAATGAACTCGAAACATTTCAAAAGAATTCAAAGGTTGTTAGGGATTTCTCCCCAAAACCCTTTTATCTTTTATGACCTTTTGAATATTTTGAATATTTTTTAAGGACAATTGAACTTATTATTCTTTGCTCAGGAAAATAATCCATTAAAACCTCTAGGGACTCTAGGGACTCATCAAGTCGTGACTTGGGGTTTGGTAACTACACCTTCAACTGCTCTTCTTGTTTTTTCTATTCCTACAAAATCCTATATATACTGCAAAAGCTAATCTTTCAGCGGGAGTGCGAGAAGATGACAGGTACGCATTTACTTTTTTTAATGCAAATTTTGTTTTCTTTACAACACTTTCTTACATGTACCTATTTACTTTGCTCTGCAAAACCTGAAACAAATCTCCAGGCGACATCAAAGACACAAAAATAACTCTTTAAAAACCAATCAACTCTTTTTTTCAAAATTAATCAACAATTTTTAAAATTAAATTAAACATTTTCAAAGGTGGCCATAAATCCTTTGAAATACAACTTCATAATACGTCATTTTGAATTTATGAGAGTCCTTCGGATGAGGTAACCCTTGGTTGCTAACGAGATCTCCCCAGTTTAAATGAGTTTAACAACTCGTTTAAGCTAAGTAAATTCAAAAAAAAAAATTTGGTACCGGAATGAGGGAATCGTGAGGGAACTGTGGGATCCTAACAGATGTCGCTCTAATCAACTTTAACCACCCCATAATGATTGAACTGAACTTGTCATTTAAATCTTTGAACCTTTACACTTTTGGACTGCTACTTCGTCGAGGAGCTTGAAGTTAACTACGAGGGCAGACTTCTACAACAATAAGTGGATCTACAATAATAAATTCCCCTAGAATTAAACAACAAGTCATAAGACTTTGAGGTTTTCCGCCTAGTGCAACATAAATCCTCAACTCATCTTTAGGTTTTTGTATGATCATGTCATGCAATCTAAGCCCTAACTCGTTTTAGGATTCTGAAGTTGTCGTTCGTTGCGAGATAAACCCTACTATTTTTCAGGCTATTTGTATGATTGTGTCATGCAAATTTAAGCCCTAACTAATAAAATTGACAGGATGAAATATTAAATAATTCTCTTCTCGAAACTGAAGCCAAACCATAGAATAACTTGAGAGGTCATTGAGGTTCTCCTCAAGATCTGTGACACCCCCCTTCCTCAGTTTTCTTTCTTTTGATTCCCTAACAATATTCCAAATTTGAGCCTCTCCCATTTGATATTTCTTGGTTCAATCTTTTAAAAGTCCTATCCTTTGAAATTCTTGGAGACGATACTTTTTTATCTAAATTAAGAGTTTTCTTAGGTGACTTCGGTCATTTAAGATGTAATTAACTATAGAGCTTTGTCTGTATAAGGAACGTTAAGAATCCATGTAATATAAACCCTATCTAATTCTTCATATTAGATAGGGGAACTTGTCGGTTAACACACAAAATAGTTTTTCGTAGACTAAAACGGATGTCATAAATTCTTTAGTTATCTAATCGAGCACCACTAGCAAGTAGTGTATCTATTCTTCGAGATAAATATATTATTTGCGGTGTTGTGCTCTTTACCTTTTCTAAATTATATATATATATATATTAAATTAAACATCTTTTAAAACCGAGTGTCGGGATATCCATTCCGGTGACCGATAATTTCTAACTTTGAACGAACGACAATTTTACATAATAATTTAGAAAATGAAATTGATGAGAATTTACCAAAACCATTAAGAGATTATGCTAAGTGTACGGTAGATGAAATTCATAGAAGTATGCAAACTCTTGTCGTAGAAGCTAACACATTTGAATTAAAACTTGTTATCATTCAGATAGTACAAAGTAATTAGTTTGGGGGAACTCTATCTGAAGATCCTAACTTACATCTTACAAGTTTTCGAAAACTTTGTGTCATATTTCAGTA